GGGGGGGGGGGGGGGGGGGGAGGAGAGGAGAGGAGCAACAGCCACTGTTCCCTGCCTCTTCCCAAAGCAAATTTCTCAGAAATTTTCACTGCTAGAAATGAACACCCATTTGAAGCCTACATAATCATACATTTCCTTTAGAAGTCACCTGTGCTTGTCATGGAGGTTACTGCTCTCCCATTGTTTTTGGAGAGAAAAGTGTACTTGTCCTCCTTCCCTGTTTCCTTTTACTTTAATCTTTGATTACCCTACTTTTCCTTATTCCCCTTGACCAGCAGACAAGTTTTTAAACCTGAAAAAGCAGTTTATAATCTGGGATAGTTGATATAACTACAGCTCTTGAGACTGTAAAGGTGCTACTCCAGAGTCCACTGCTAGGCCACTTTATCCCAGAATCCTGACTCCAGGGAGCAAGAAGGGGCAAGTTATCACCTGCCTTTGCCTCTGACATTGCTGACAGCCACTGTTTCTAATTCTTGCCTTCCTAGGCCACGTCCAGATAAGTGCAGCCATATGGTATGTAGTGCCACAGACACATCTGAGGCACCACATACTGCATGTTCTGTTGTTCTCTGTGCTTCAGGGGAGTAGTGCAGAGGGTTTTTTTGACTCCTGGATATTCAGGGGTCAAAAAAACCTATGGAGAAAAAAAACAGAGTTGCGCACGTGACAGTAGCATGCACTGCCCAAAGCCGGAGCCTGACTGGCCGGAGCTACACTCCACTGCCAGCCAGGCTCTGCATAGCAGGATTGCCACTGCTGCAGCTGTGGGAGGCCCCCAAAACTCCAAGTAAGGCTGCTGGCCCCAGCCTCCCCTACCTCTCCTGGGGTAACTTGCTATGTGCTATCACATGTGTGCCACAGGTGTTCCGCAGGGACAACTAGTGGTGGCATACGGTACACTGCCACTAGTTTCTAGGGAACAAAACATCCATGCACATCTGGATGCAGCCCTAGAGTGTACTCAGTCTTCGTAAAGGGTCATCCATACAAGAGAATTTCATAGAGGGGAAAGCATTTTTGTCTTTATATTTTGGTAACCCACATCACGTGTATTGCTTCAAAAAACTTTTACACAAAATTTACAGCTACTACAAAGAGATGCCACTCCATTGGCTTCAGTAAATGTACACGGATCGAAATCAACTGAAAATCTGGCCCTTTTTTGTGAAATGCGTCATAGTTATGGAGCACATGCATTTGTATTTAAGTAAAAAAGTAGTAATTATGGTCATTAAAGGATACTGTACTTTTAGATTTAGGGTGGAAATAGCTCATCTAGAAAATTGTGTTTTCAGGCTTTGTGCAGGAATATTTTAATGTTATTTATTAATAATCTGGCAGCATTGTGAGAAAAAAACCTCATAGTCACTCCATCAGTGGTCTGAAAGTTTTATGAACATTGACATTTTTATGTAGTTTATAACAGTGCAGATTGTAATTCATAGGTGTACAAAATATGGCCCATTGTTCTCTCAGGCATCATTTGTCTCTGAATAAAAGGCAAGCTAACATCTCTTCAAGTAAAAATGTGTATATGCCATCACAATGTGTTTTATCCAAGGACAAATGGAAGGAGTAATCAAGAGAACTGTATAGGACAGTGTGTGTAGCCACTGGCTTTGTGACCAATAGGGGAAGTCTGAAAATATAAAGAAGTTCAGATGTTGTTAGCCATGTGTGAGTAGGTAAGTATGTAGTATTAAACTTTCTATGCGATTCAGAAATTGAGGTTGAGAAAAGTTAATGGTTCACAAGGTGTACATTGTGGCTTAGTTGGTTAGCATGGTACAGGATTAAGAACTTTAGAAGGATAGATTAGATTAGACAAATTTGTGATCAGTCTTCTAACCACCTCTAGAGAAAGGTAGTGCTGCTTCTTCCATAAACATTTTCAAAGCAAATACATTTCTATGTACAAATGGCTTTTTTCATACTATAGTATCTTTAACTCTCACAGAAATGTCAACAAAAAATAATATTTCAGGTGAGGCAAATACTATGCATAACTATAGGGTAAAGAATTTTGTACTAATTTTCACAAATAAAATTTAAATTGGTTTAGGTGAAAATTATTGTTCAGACTCAAGAAGCATGTTTCAGCAGATGTACACTTCAGATATAAGTGGTAATGCAAAGAGGCCATAGTACCTTGAAATTCCATTGTCGGTTCATTCTTTGTCTATTGTTGATATTTTTCTCCATAGGTGACTGAACTGGAGTGTGTGAGTAGTCAAGCGAATGCAGTTCACACACACAAAACAGAATTAAACCAGACAATACAGGAATTAGAGTCAACACTGAAGAAAAAAGAAGAGGTATATACCAAACTTTATTCATAGCAAGGAAACTGGGTTAAAAAAATACGTGTTTTATAAAAGTTTTTATTGTTAAATTTTAAAGCTCTCGTGAGCACGCTTTTCATTCCTGCATGTGGAATAAAATAAAAAGAATTCTTTTTTTTTTTGCCTATTTGAAACTAATATTTTCTCTCATATATTAACTATCACAACTCTTGTTTGGATCTGGTGTATCTAAGCCAAAAATCTACTGTTAGTTCTGTTCCATCTCCTCAACTATCTCTTCTTGCTAAAGAAATCATGCACTGAGGCACATACATAATTTCTTCACAGCAGCAGTCCAAGCAAAACACTTCAAATTCCAACTGTAGGCAACTGACGTCTGTAAAAGTATTTATTTTAAAACACAGCTGAAAGTAATGCATTCCCTTTTCAGAGAAGCGAGATTCATGGAAAGAAATTTAAAATATACCTCTGTTTTAAAATTAGTTTATATTGCTTATTTATGAGCCCTGAAAGTCCTGTCGTTTTCTTAGAGGTACATTTTATCCCCTACCTGGTTCTGCTTAATGTGCCTTCAGCCAGGTTCTGAGCCAAAAGCAAGAAGGCACAGGAGTTAAAGAACATCCATGAGTTCAGGCCTTTCAGGGATAGCACCTCTACCCTCCAAAATGACTGTGGTAGTGTTGGAGTGATATTGTAGCTGTAAGGGTCCAGGAAATGTATGAAAAGCAAGATTTTTTGTGTTATCTTTTTTTGGACCAACTATATAGCTGGATATTACATGAGCTTTCAGGATATTGTGCCTTTTGTATGTTTGAGCAGAATGATGTTGAACTGTCTAGCAGAATGATAATAATAATAATAATAATAATAATAATAATAATAATAAGAGAGGTAGCTTGGAAGTTGAAGGGGGAGGGAAGCCTTGGTGGTTTCACCATTACAAAGAATAGAAGCAAATAAGCGCAACAGACATTGACATGCTAGATCAGAGCACTGGTCCATCTGTTCCAGCAGTGGCTATTTACAAATGCTGAAGAAGAAAATGTAGGAAACCCTGAAAATTGCATTTGTGAAATAGCCTACCCAAATGGAAATTTCTTCCTAGCCACACCCTCTCCCCCCCCCACACACACACCCCTTCCCCAGCTGCATGAGTTAAAGATTGGCTGAAACATGGATGTGTGTGTAATTTTTTAGCTTATTGTCTTTCAATTCCTTACTATTGTAACTCTATGCTGTTGTTACTCCTCTCAGGTTATGTCTGCAGCACAGTACATTCCCATGCAGAGGTTTCTGAATTATAGTTTCATAGTTTCTAGGGTTGGAAGGGGCCTGAGCAGA